TTTTTTTTTTTTTTTTTGAGACAGGGTCTCGCTGTGTAGCCCAGGCTGGCCTCTAACTCACAGGGGTCCTCCTGCCTCTGCCTCCTGAGTGCTGGGATTATTAGCATGCGCCACCACACCTAGTTATACCAGATACTTTCACTGAAAACAGTGTTATTTGGGTCAAGTAAGAAGCCCAAAACTGGGCGTGGTGGTTCACACCTATAATCCCACCACTCAGGAGGCTGAGGCAGGAGGATCACTGTGAGTCCGAGGCTAGCCTGGGCTACCTAGTAAATTGACACCCAGCCTGAACTGCATAGCGAGAACTTGTCTTGAAAAAAAGCCAAGGCAAAAAGGAAAAAAAAAATGTGCAAGGCAATCACCAAAGACTTAACCTTCTGGACACATACATTCATACACTTTATAGCCCCTCTATAATTACACACAACTTATCTCCTAGAAATCCATATTTGTAACTCTTACGAAAATGACTCATTGTTTTTATTTTTTTAATAAGTAAAAAAATATTTTCCCCAGAGTGCTACAAAGCAACCAATCTACCCTTGGACAATGGATTCAAATTGGGATTTGATATCTAAATTATTTTCACAAAAGTAGAACTTGCGGAACAGAGTATCCATTTGAGTGAGTGGCAGGATGGGTCGCTAGTCCAGGAGAGGACTGCAGTATCCCTCAGCAGGTGACAGAGCTGGGTGGGCCTTTCCTGATGACCACCAGTGTTGATGCAAACCTCTTTGTCCCCCAAGCTTGCTCAGAAAACGTCCCAGGAAAAGAAAACTAAAAGCCAAGCCTTGGCAACAGGCTGCTCTGGGATGGAGCTCAGGCAGCCTGGCCTCTGCTGACCCCACTGGCTGTCACCAGGCCGAGGCCGGGAGAGACCCTGGTCATTTGGGAGCAGGGCATGCGCTGGGCCCCCAAGAGGCGTCCCCTCCTCCCCGTGGGCTCTGCAGCCAGGCCCCACTGGGTCCGCCCAGGCTGTTGTCCTCCGGACCTCCTGTACCCTGGAACCCAGGCTCCAGGGGCCGCATCTCTTCCCCCTGCTCCTCTTCTTCCTCGGACTCTGACGCGTCGTTGTAGAAGTGGATGGTGGCTTGTACGGGGAAACTGGCTAGCACTTTCTCCCCAGAACTCCGCAGGTATTCTTGATGCTTCGAAATGGGTAAATAGAGCCTGATATTGGAGAAACAAAAACGCCAGTATTCTACTGCAAAAATCACTCCTAAGAGTGTCCTTCACCCTGAAGCAGCTGGCACCCCAGGCCTCCTGTTCCCCCCGTCCCCCCTTCCCATGGTGGTGGCAACGGCTCCAGAGTCAACAGTAAGCGCCAGGCCAGCTCGGAAATGGGTGAGAGATGGACAAGCACAACCACACAGGGCCACCAGGAACGCTGAGGTCTGGCCCCTGGACAGCCGAAGTCCTCCGGGAGAACGGATGGACCATGGCAGCGAGGCCCCATTCCCACTCCTGGTTCTGGAAGCTCTGCTCTGGAAGTCTGGCCCAGGGAAGTAGCTCATTGTTTGGGTATCACCACGGAGCAGGTAGAACAGCGCATCCCTGGCTCTGCCAGAGTAGCAAAGAGGACGTGGCTAGGGTGGGGTGGGGTCAGACAGGAAGGCGGAGAGCCCTCCCTAAATCCCAGTTTTTGTGGAATTTGGGACTCCAATTATAAGGAGAAAGTATTTAAAACATCTCTCTCATAGCTGAATGTGGTGCCTACCATAATCCCAGGACTCTGGGAGGCTGAGGCAGGAGGATTGCAAATTGAAGCCCAAACTGGGCAATTTAGTGATGTGGCAAGACCCTGTCCCAAAATTAAAATTAAAAGAAGGGCTGGGGATGTGGCTCCATGAAGAGGCCCAAGTGGTGTTCAATCCCCAGGACTGCGAAACAAGTAAAGGGCTCTAAGAATCTTTTTTCCTTAGGCATCTTCATTGCAGATTGCAATATTCCTCTTTTTAGACAGAGAAGAGAGTGAGAAGAGACCCTGCTATAAATAACGCACAAGTTTTACTGCCTACGATTTCCAGTAGGCCAGCGGTGCTCAACTCTGGGGCACGTTTGAAAATATCTGGAGACGTTTTTGGCTATAGTAGCTGTGGGGAAACTACTGGCATTTAACAGGCAGAGGCCAGAAACGCTGCTGACCACCCTACCAGGCCCAGACGGTTCTCCGGGTTCTCAGCCCGAAGGGTGAGCGGCGCGGAGGCCGCGAGGCTGCACACCAGACAGGGTGTGCGCGGTTGATAGACGGAAGACAGATTCACAGTTTCATTTGGGGCCACGCTAAAAATAAGGTGTTTGCGCTTCCGTACTTGCCGTTGGATTCATAGGACGTGTGGGATTTGCGTGAACAACAAAAGCAGCTGGGGAGATCAGAAGAATGCTGATAGTAAGTATGCGGCTGAGATGGTACTTAGGGGGTCGCTCCCATATATAATATGCAACCCACTTTAGTGCATGTTTGAAATTTTCTGTAATAAAAATGGCCATCTCCTTCAGAAGGCCCAGTTGCGGCTGCCCGGTCCCTCAAAGCATTCCAGCTGATCAAAAATGGGGCGCCCTGCGTGCTGGAGGCCTACCCAGGATTGAAAACCAGGTAAAGGTGGCTCAAAAAGCTTCCCTCTTCCAAAGACCACACTCGCCAGTGTGGGGCGCTCAGTCTGACTCTACAGATGAGAGGCTTTGGGTTTTATTGACCTTTTGCAGCCTTCCGAGTAACTAACAACTAACGGGTGCAAAAGCCCCGAGGACGGCAGGCAGCAGAGGCTCCATTCATTTTGTTTGTTTTTTGGGTTTTTTTGAGACAGGGTCTCACTATGTAGTTGAGACTGACCTGGAACTCACTGTGTAGCCCAGGCTGGTCTCGAACTCACAGCGATCCTCCTGCCTCTGCCTCCCAAGTGCTGGGATTACAGGCGTGCGCCACCACGCCCAGCATTCATTTTGGTGGAGGAAATGAGAGATGGTGAGAGACAGGCTGAAAAAGGCAGAGATAGATACAAGTCCTGAAAACAAGCTACTTGCCCAAAAAGGATGAGATGTAAGTAGGGAACCAGTCCTGGTCCCTGCCAGGACCGGAAACAGACGGTCTGACTACCAGAGCGGCTAGGGAGGGGCCTTCATGCGCATGCTTGGTACACAGACAGGGAGCCAGTGTTCAGACCCAGACTTGCTCAGAGCGCGTGTTCTGAGGGTCTGCTCTGCACAAGACAATATATCGGCTTATATCTTACAAGGGAAATGGAGATGTGCCCGATGTCTAAGAAATTAGGTGCATATGCGCACGAAGTCGTATGTCATTAACACAAGGAGTAATATGCGGTGGGAGGTACGAACAGAAGGTATAAAGAAAAGAGAGAGGTCAATGCCAGTTTGCCATTGAAAAACGAATGAATACATGGATGGAAGTCCAGAGACCCCATAAAATATCCTTGAAGTTCCTTGGTATAAATGCAATAACATTGCAGAACATAGTATCTTCCACTTCGTTGAAAATGTATAGTTGAAGACACTAAAGTGTATTAATGGTTATATCATCAGAAAGAATGTAAAGTTTCTATTCAAAGTATATATATAGTATACAAAATTTCTATTGCTTCTATTGAAAGTACAGAGACCCCATAAAATATCCTTGAAGTTCCTTGGTATAAATGCAATAACATTGCAGAACATAGTATCTTCCACTTCGTTGAAAATGTATAGTTGAAGACACTAAAGTGTATTAATGGTTATATCATCAGAAAGAATGTAAAGTTTCTATTCAAAGTATATATATAGTATACAAAATTTCTATTGCTTCTATTGAAAGTATATAATATATATATATATAATATATAACCTTACAGGATGCTGAAACCCGAAGGCGTCCTTCGATCCCAAAGTTTGTGGGTTCCCCTCCTGCTCACACTGTAAAGACAGATACAAACACAGGTATAGCAAAGGAATAGCACAAGGAACCTTCTGGGGGTTTTTAAAGACAAAACCTGGGGAGTCTGCAACTGTTACTGTCAGTACATTCTAGAGCGAGTCCAGAGTCCTTCTCGATGTCCCTCTCCTGGTACAGTTCCCTGTCTGTTAACCTTGTCCACAGCAGCAAAGGCCCTGGGAGGGATTCAAAGATGGAGAGTAGGGACGCAGGGCCTCGGCCTGGGAGATTCAGAAACTAAGGGAGAGACGCAAACCTCTGGAAACAGCCCTGCTGAGCGGGGAGGACAGGGCAGGGCGGGTGATCGAACCCAGTCACATTCAGAGGGGCGAGGGCTGGGCACAGGGACACAGGGTGCAGCGGGTGAGGTGCTGGTGGTCCAAGGCTCCTGGGAGGCTGGGTCCCCTCCGGAAACCCTCCATCCCCACTACTGAGTGGAGCTTTGATCCCAAGAGCCCAGATCTGTGCTTTATGGGCGGTGGCAGCCCATAAAGGTGTCCCTGGACTGCACTCAATGAGGCCTCGCAGGCAGCCTCACAGAGCATCAGGACCTGACCTGAGGCCACACCGAGACGGGAGGGGAGGGGAGGGGAGGCAGACAACCCTCGCCAGGCAGCTGAGAACAAGGGCGATGAGGCCAAGAAGCAGAGAGCCCAGGCACCCACAGACCGAGGGGTGGTCTCCGGCTCCTGATCGATCCCACTCTGCCACGCTCCCGGGGCGCTGGACTGTGTTTGGCCTGCAGTGTGGTCAGGTTATCTGAGAGCTACGGAGCCTCTGGTGGCTGAGTTACTGCCGGGTATGGGGTGACCCAGGATGCATCCGGGCGGGCGGGAGGACGTGAAAATGAGCTGAAGGGGCAGGTGAGAAATCCTGAGTTCTTGGATTCCAAGGTGTCAGCGGGGACCAAATTATGAATGGCACCAAACCTGTGCGGCACTGCAAGAAAGGATTCTGGGGGCCGGGGATTTAGCTCAGTGGTTCCAGCACCTGCCAGGCAAGCACTAGGCCCCAAGTTCAATCCCCAGTACAAAAAAAAAAAAAAAAAAAAAAAAAAGAAAGAAAAAAGAAAGAATGAAAGAAAGAAAACGAAAAGAAAGGATTAAGGTTCAGATGACTGCAGAACCTGGAAAAGCTGTTGCTGTCATTGATGTATAACGTCTTTTTATATAAATATAAATAAATATATATACATATATATATAAATTGAATTTTGGGAAACTTTAATGGTGCTGCCAACTTTGGAAAAAGTCATCCCAATTTATTGTGTTGAGTTGGCATTGTACAGAAATGGACAGCCATATTGGTCTAGAAATGTTAATTTATTTTTATTTCTATTTTTTTCCATGTGTACAGGGGTAACACATCATACTAAATATGTAAGGTCATTATCTATGTGGGTTTGATTACAGAAACTAATAAAGTATTCTCTAAATAATGAAAAAAAGAATAAGATAAGAGTATAAGAGCAAGAAGCAATTTAAATATGTTCAGGGACCATTTTCATCTCCAGAATTAAGGATTATTTTAATGTTACATCATTGCCTTTTCTCTTTTACTTTCCTTTTTAGTTTTATTTTAGGGTTCGCTATTTTTAATGTTCATACAGAGATTTCTTTAACTGAAATAACGAATAGTTTCTTTGGTGTGAAAAACTATAGTAGTACACAGGATCCTAGTGAGATAATTAATAATGTGAAATAGGAAGTAAAGGGCTAAAGGTGTAGGGAAAGTGGGAAGGGTGGGCGAAAGGTAATAAGGGAGAGGGAAAAAATATGAGAAACTGAAAAAATGGAAATAAAGTGTTTGTAAATGGGGAGGGGAGGAGGGGGTGAAGGGAGGGCAGGGACAAGGGGAAAAAATGAGAATCAAGACCTATTATGTAAAGGTACAGAATCCCAATGATGAATGTAACTGTATTGTATACCTAGATTGTACCAATAAACGCAATTAAAAAAAAAAAAGAAAGGATTAAGGATTCGGGGAAGCCAAGGATTCTGGGTGGTGCACACCTGTAAATCCCTGCCCTTCGGAGGAAGGAAGGAAGGAAAGGAAGGAAGGAGGGAGAAAAAGAAGAGCCTGAGGTGGTACATGTCTTAATCCCAGCACTTGAGAGGCTGAGGCAGGAGGATCACAAATTGAGGTCAGCCTGGGCTACATATATGAGACCCTGTCTCAAAAAGAAAAAGGCCCCTGCAGACATTTAGCAGCCGCATTTTATAATAATCTGTGAGGAGACAGGGAAGTCAAGTGAGGCTTTTGTAACAAAATCCTTTGCACTGCTCTTCATCTTGGGAGGTGGGGGTGTTGCCGGAAGTTATTTCTGTGTGTAAGCTGGGTGTGGTGGCGCGTAAGTAGTTCGAGATCAGCCTGGGCTACACAGTGAGTTCAAGTCCAGCCCGAACTACACAGGGAGCCCCATCTCCAAAATTAAAAAAAAAACAACAACAACAAAACCGCCCCCCTCCAAAGTCCCAAAGAGCTCCGTTTGTGATTACAAATCATCCCTAACTGCCCGTCTCTTTCTCCTGCCACCAGGACTCCTGAGCAGGGCTCCACGGCCTGTGACCCGGCAGAGTGTAACACAAGTGCGCAACCTGGGAGGACAGAGAAGCAGCGGGCGGCACCGAGGGAGGACGACGCCCCCCCAAAGCCCCACACCCCACCTCTGAAACAGCGTGACTTGCCGGCTTTAAATTCCACCCGTCAGACGCACAGCTTTCAAATATTATGCTGTAAATATCCCGATTATCTCCCCGAGATCTTAAAGTTCCTTTCTCGCTGAAGGAAAAGTCTACATATTCATGTCTGTTTTGGGCAGAGAAATGTGTGCAAGTTAAACTCTGCGTTTAAGGTTCGGGTATTTTCTTAACATCTAGAGAACAGAGTCCATCGGACTTCCAGCGGGAGGTGCGCGCCCCTGACTGGGCAACGGTGTGCACAAGGCACTGGGGCCTTTTATCAAATTTAGATTTTATTCTAATTTTTAGCTGCTCGATGGACCCCGGAAATTCTCCTGCTTTGTCGGGAGAGGGCGCCATTGAGCAAGGCGTTTGGGCCTGCAGTCGCTGTGCCTTCGTCTGCTCTGCAAAGAGCGGGTCCAGGGCGAGGCAGCGAGCTCTGCATCCTCCCCAGCAACGCCTTCCGTCCCCAAATCTGGGGCGCCACCGCCTCAGCAGGTGAGACGTGAGACGTGCTGAGGGCCAACCGGGAAGTTGCACAGCCTAGCATTTCTCCGCGGTGATCTCTGTTCTCACCAATGACTTTCTCACCGCAATAGACAACGCTCAAAGCCACCTGCTGGCATTAGGCAGTGTGCCATAATATCTTTGTTCTCGCAGACAACCAATAGGTTCTGCCTACATTCCATTGAAAACAAAATTGAATGATTGTAGGGAGGAGGGGGAAGATGTGAAGAGTGAAGTTGTGTTAAGTACCCATCCCAACCCCCCAGGGGAAGGTGATCATTAAGTGATGCAAACAAGCACTGATAAATAAAATTTTAAAAGAAGCTACATTTGAATGCAACAGAAAGATCTGTTTTCCATTACTGAGCTATTGCTTGCAAGAATCATCTGGGCTGAAAATTATATCACTTGTTAATTTGCTTCCTTTTTCTTCACTGTAAAGAATGGTAACTGAATCAAAACTCTGAACATTCAGATTAATAAATAGAAAAACCACCAAAAACTGCTTTCCCATCCCTGAGCTTTCTTGCCACATTACAAATAACTGCACACTAAGCCACAAGTGGGGAGTAAGGTAAATCAAATACACCGTCCTGCCCAGCCAGATGAGCTCTCCAGGGTTTTAAAAAGCCTGGTTTATATTGACAGTGTAACAAATGAAAGCAAGCCTTTCCCTGGTAATTGTAACAGTATTTAGTCACCCGTGCAGGGTAACAAAAGAGAGGCTGGGGCGATTAATCTTCCGCACAGCACGGGCTGGAGTGTGTTTGCTCGGACTACAGGAGTTGCCCTGCAGGCCGCAGACAGGGCTGAAAGCGCTTCCGAAGGGGCCAGACGGCGGCGGGCGCTCCCGCGCGGGCTCCCTTAGATGTGACCCTGCCCTTATTTGCACTGCGGCACCAGCAGGGCTGAGTGTGCCCCGGGCTTTCCTCCGCCTGCGAGTGTGCAGGAATCCCCTGCGGTGGCTCGGTCTGTGGAGAGAGCAGAGGCCCCAGGAGCCCCCCAGATGTCCGCGGCCACACTCGAGCTTACCTGGCTTCCGGCGGCGGCCAGCGTCCAGGGTCGCCAAGGTGCGGGGCCGGGGCTGGAAGGCAAAGAGGCAGCAGATGATGAGTCCCGGGCGCTTCTGCCGCTCTTCGGGCCTCTGAGGGTTATTTTATCACCGGGCACCCGACTGCGGATGGGCCGACGACGCTGTGACTTCCTCCCCTGCCCGGTGCCCGCTCTCTGCCTGCAGGCGGACTCTGGGGAGGGAAGACCAGGGAGACAGGTGACCCGCGCTCGGGTCTGGGCTCTCTCCGCTCACCCCGGCGGGGCTGTCCAGTCTCCCACGGCCGTCCACGCGGTCGCCGGTTTCAGCCACCCCACCCGGGGCCGGGAAGGG